TGATAGTAGGCAAATTTGCAAAACTCCTCAGAAGAGTTGTAATGATAGGTGTACACATTGCCTCTGTTGCTAAATTAAAATCCATCTTTTTGATCTTCATATAAGACTGAGGAATCTCAAACAAAGATCAAGGTGTGGAGAAGCACCCTGATGATGCCTTTTGTTAATGTGTTAATGAACTTGCTTGGTTAATGTCGTAGAAAAAGTCATATAAACCCCCAGACAAAATCTTTTACCTGAACCTGTATGCTTACCAATGATAATGCTTTTCAAAGGCTGAAGCCTAAATTAAAATATGAAAAGGAGAGGTGGGTAGATAGCGGTTCTTGGTAGCTGTTCATCTGCTAAGTGGGACAATTTTTTTAATCTTTGTTAAAGCTACTAATACATTTTGAAGCAAGTAAGGCTTTTGTGTCTTTTGTCGTTTCTTCTAATTTTGATTTTTTGTCTTTATCTGCACAACTACTTTTCTGCTAACTTGAGAGCTACTCTAGCCTATGCCATTCATCACAAGAACATCTCAGAGGGACTTGGAAATGTTTCAAGTTTTAACAATCAGAGACCTAACCTGTTTTTTCTAATGTAAGTTACCTGCCTAGACACACTAGGAAGACAAACACTGAATATCAGAAGTTGAATAATAACAGTAATGAGGAATTTTGCATGAGAAATAAAAACCTGGTAAAATCAGGTCTTTTGATGTAGATTGCTGAGATACTTTACCAGTGTAAGAAAAAGAGTGTCGACATTTGTCAGGCTATCCTCCATAAATTAGAATTACTGTACAGGGGAAGTGCAGCCTTGGCTGTCGTAACTATCCCTGCAACATTTGCTATTTTGTTGTGGTTTTTTTTCTTTGAAATAAAAAGGGATATTTGGGGTACATTGGTAATATGTAAAGTCTCTATTTTCTTAGTTGATCTTTTTGTTCTATTATCATTACAATTCTTTTTATCTTGACCTAATCACATTTTCTGGCTTGCTTGTCAATTTAAAAGATAAATCAGGGAAAAAAAAGAAAAAATGCTTTGATTGTTTGTGTGTGTATTGTTGGGGGGGGGGGGGGGGGGGGTAATGAATTTGTTGCTTTTAGAATAGTGTAAGGTTGACAGCCTAGGAAACTAAAGTGTCAGTACATATTTTCTCAGACTATTTTGATAGTATGCTTTATCCCTGACCTGGAAAAGCCACCTCTGCATGTGAGAGGATAGTTCATTCTCCATAGCTCATTCAGTCCTTGTCCTTTTTGCTAGGACTGCCATCAAGATTGCTAATTATAGTAATAGGTTTGTGACGTGGGTGCTTTTCCTCTGAAAACTGGTCAAATTCATTTGATACAGGCCATAAAGCAGCCATTAGCGGGTACCAAGTTTCAGCCACCACCAGTTTGACCTAAGTAGTAGCTGAACAGTGCAGTAGTGTTTTTCCCTGGCATCCTTTTTTTTTTTTTAATGTTCTTGTTGTAGCCAAACTATTTTATATTTCCAGTGGGTTTCAGACCCTTTTCTGCTGAAACTGAGTCGCCTGTTTTCAATTGCAAGAAACTAAACCTGCACGAGTTAAATAAGCCAACACAAAATAATGTCAAGAGTGGGCTTTACACAGCCTTAAATATGTTGGTTTGTTTTGGTTTTTTTCTTACAAAAAAGCCATTGAAGGTGTGGCTTGGACAGAAATACAGAGTAAAGCACATTTTTCAAACTTACAAACTAATTTCAGCTGTTAGTACTGTAGCATCTTCCCTCAAAAGACAGACATAAAAATATTATAGCTTTAAAACTTCTTATTTTGCTGGAAGAAAAGTGGCTTTAGAAAAAAGTGGTTTATGTCCACTATTTAGCATTACTGGAAAGGGAACAAGAGGAAAATATTAACAAGGCTGACATTTTTTTCATGTTGGCACTCAGCATGATACTGGTGATTTAAAAGACATTCTGTGGTATGGTATTTTTACACTTATGTCTATTTTTTTTAAAGGAAACTTCATAAAGACTGAGATTTTCAGATTTCTGTTGCTAACACTTTTCTGGGTTTCCTAGCAGTGCTTTTCTTAAATGGAAATGCAATCAACCCTTACTTCATGGTGCCTTCAGTATTTCTTTCAGGTCTGACCACTAAGTCCAAGAGTCATGTCCTCAATAATCCCTGAAAAAATTATTGTTTCTCACCCTCTTGCTACATACAGATACATGCATTTAGATACACATATACACATCTTCACCTTTCTCAGAGTTGTTTTGCCGTATCAGTGGATTTTTCTGTACTTCATACTCAGGAATTGTGTTTGGATTACAAGAACTTGACTCCGATTCACTGCTTTCATTAGCACTGATTCAGAATCAGGCTGATTCTGACATCAGTGTTAATGATGTAATAATGCTGACTCTGAGCAGAATTGTTTCTGATTCCCTGATATGCAGGGGCATGTCTGCTTTACAGGTGCAGGTGCAGATGTTTGATTGCAGCTCATGTAAATTTGTGGAAGCATTAAACGGGTAACGGTGTAGATATGGAAGCCCAGAGTTAGCTGCTGAAACAGTTTTGGAGGTTGCAGCCGGTATTGAGCTTCACATACCCCAGCTGCGATTCCCTTACTAGTCATGCTTGCACTTGGCTAAAGATAGCATGGATAAATATATATAGCTTGTAGTTGCATCTCTCCCACCAGTGTGCATACATCCTGAGTGAGATCAGAAGGAGTCCTGTTGGGATTTATTTTGTAGAAATTATCTTTAGTTTATGTGGTTATTTCCCCACAGGAATAAAGATTTTCCTGTACCTTTTGAAAATTTTTGGCAAAGTTGATTTCGAAAATCTTGGGTGTAAATTTATCATCGGCCTTTGCATAATTATCATGTCTTCAGGAATGCAACTGTACTGAAGCTAGAGCCCAAGAGCGGCCCTGGTGCTAGATCAGGAAAATGGAGGAAGACTGGCGTATGGCTGGATGTGGGGCCCTTAGCTCACTTCTTCTAACAGCACACATGCCAGTCACGTTGCACCACTGCTCATGCTCCTGGCAACTCGTCAATTCCATATTTTGCTCAGCATTACGGTTTCTGAGCTTTTACCTACCCACACAAACTCCTTTGTGCCTACAGTAGGTGTGCACAGAAAATGCTGTATTTTGGATGCTCAGCGGGAACCTGACAGTAACATGAGAGGTTTTTTTTTTCCAGGAGGAGGCACCTGTGCTGCCTTCCGAACTGCATGTGTGAAGTATAGTAAATATATGGGTTAAAAAAATCATAATTCAAATCCCTATAGTGGTACTGATCAGATCTCTGTTTCTGTAGCAATGAGAACCAAAGGTGGCCTTTTAAGGCTCACAGTTCATCTACCAATTTCCAGTTCTGCTTCAGGATTCTTAAAGTATTAGAGTGTGTGCTTTAAACCCACAAAACTTACCTTTACCTAATTTTCACCATTCTAACCTAAGTTTCCACGGAAACAGGGTTGAAAAAGCCGCTGGTAGCCAGCAGGCAGCCAGCAGCTGAGAGTGAGAACTCTCCTTTGTCACTTTCCACTACTGGATGCCTGCTGCGTGCCAGTGTGCAAAGCTACCTAGGCTTCTAAAATCTGGAATACTTTCAATTTGAGGGGGAAAAATTAAATTAATCTACTCTTTTCTCTCTTTGGATTGTCACAGTAAATTCCAGGAGGGCAAATGGGCTAATGAGTCCTGATCTGTTCAGTTACACTGAGCCCCACGGAATCAGAGCTTTCCCAACCAACTGGGCCTCTCCTTTCATAATTTCCATGTTTTAAAAGCATTCTCTCTCAAATTTTGTGTCTGTGCACATGTACACGCATATTGCGGTACCTTAATTCTTTATGGCTCTTTATCTATCTACGTATTTACGAGCCTTTTTTGCATATAGTATAGTCGATGTATAAAATTCCCTTTTTTCCTGTATACTTAGGGAACATTTCTGAATGAACACATTATAACTGATCCTCAGTTAAATATTAGGAGTAGGATATGAATGGAGGTGGCTTTTAACCAGAAGTAGATTATAGCTGCGGGAAGACTAAAGGGTCTATTTGGTCAAGACTCATACAAAACTGAGATAAGCATGCACAACCTGACAAGATCAGATTAGACCCTTCCCCCCACAAGTGCTTTTCCCATAAATATTTATCTACTTTCTATTATAAATAACCAGGAAATGAAAGAGGAGGATAGATTCCTTTTTTAAAAATAGCCTAGAAATAGAAATGCAGCTTCAAATCTTTGGGGTAATGATATTTTAAGTATGCAGTAAATTCCAATGCTAGTTGCTGTTTTTTAAATGAGAGCAAAGTACTGAAATTCTTCGTGGCAGCTACGTAACTCGGCAACATTTATAAACAAAGAAGAACTTTGTACATATGTGCATTTTTGCCTACTATTGGGTACCTTAGAATTAAATAACTTATCACCTATAGAGAATAGGTGTTGACAGAGTCAGCACTGCTGTATTTTTAAGCTTGCCTGAGGGAACATAGCTGGCATTGAAGTTAAGCTTGGCATTTTTCACCCTGTCCCTCCTCCCTCCAGCCCAAGTGAATGCTCACTTCATCAATGAGAAACACAACTGACTTGCCTGCCAGATGTAATGGAGATCCATGAATTCACATCTATTCTGCAAATTTGTGTTTCATTCAGATTGTCGATACTTTGACTCACTTTCTCGTGCAGTGGTGTTAAGGGGTAAAAATCTGAAGCCATACATGTGCCACTAACTCAGAAATGCATTTGTTGGTGATCCACTCATCAGAACCTGTGTGGATTGCCTTTCTGTTAAAATAAAAAAATAGCTCTTTAGCTGTGAGATTTAAAACCTTAAAAAGGTACAGAATAATATTTTTATATTCATCTTTGAAAGTAACAAGTGTGTACTTTTTAAAACACTTCTGTGTCACATAAGAATAATATTAATACTTTAAAAATCTCAAGATGAAAAACGTAAGTCCTTTTTTCTTTTCTTTTTTTTTTTTTAAATCTTTTTTTCCTCTAGCATTTTACGATGGGATAATGAGACAGATGTCTCTCAACTGGAAGGACATTTTGACATTGTTATGTGTGCTGACTGGTAAGTACATAAAAATCATAAAACTCATGTTAGAAAAATAGCTTTGCTGGAGTAATTGTACTGTGCTGCTTGCTGATGGCTAAGCAAAGTCAACAAATGAAGCACAAAGCCACCTTAACCTCAACAAATTAATATTCATCTCCATGTGACAGTTATAAGGTAGTCTTCTATCACACAGTAACTTCTACCACATTATTTCCCAAAGATTGATTTTGAGAAGCATTTCCATTTTCTGGAATTGCCTCTGTTTCATGCTTGACGTATCAGTAAATGGACGACTTAGGCAAATTGCAAATAATTATGGCTCAGTGAGGAACAGTCTGGAGAAAAGGGAGTTTATCAACACAAACAGCTCAATTAGCTTACTTCTTAGGAAAGATCTGACTATTGATATAAGGGGATATATTTTTTGCTCCCCAGAAAATCTTTCCGAGATAAAAAAGATTTTCAAAACCTTTTTTCCCCCATCACGTTCTGTTTCTTAGATCAGTTTGACAGCAGTATTTGTAGACATAGGCTTTATATTATTTACACAGGCACATGTTAATTGTAAGAGAATTCTTAGTAAAAAAATGAGAGTACAGCACTTAATTTATGAAAAGGTAGATACATGTTACAATATGGTATATTATTAAATAATTCATGCAAATAGATTTGATTATTGACACAACCCTTTTCTGATACTGGATTTGCAGAATTGTGCTGTGCTATATCTGCTGCATGCTAACTTTAAAAATGGTACATTTTTAATTATTTGTGTTATATAAATGGAGACAGTGTAAAGAGAGATATGCAAATTTCATTTAGGAGAGTAGATATTTTTAAATTAATCTGTCTTTCCTTCGTGAATATTTGCTCGTGACCCTTTAAATGTCCAAAACAGAAAAAGCTGTTTATGTTTTGTTGCACATAACTATCATGAGAGACCAAATTCTGAAAACAGGGGCTTCCTAGGACAGCTCAGTTCAGCAGATTTCTGTACCTTACGAAGAAATAGTTAAAGGAAAAAGGCAAAGGGAAGTATGAAGCTGTCTATTGTCTTTTTAAACAATGTTCTTTTTAAGTGGCTTCTGATAAAATATTCTTCTAAAGCTTTTGTTTGTTTGTTTGTTTGATATTTTGCTATTTAAGCAAACTTTTTATTTCAGCAAAGTTACTGGTTTTGTATAGCACTGTGTATGGTATATTTAGTAATCTTTTTTTCTTTTTCTAATACCTATTTGTTGACAGAATGCAACAGTGCTTCATTTCTCTTAGCATTTAATTTCAGAAAAGTTCTTTGTTCCCAAAAAGGACAGAGAAGGGTTTCTAACTAATCGCTGATAATGTGCCTCAGAGATGCATCATCTGATTAAAATAAGGAGCTAAACAACACCATATGATTTCAGCAAGTAATTTAGTAAATGCCTTCCTCACCAAATATTAGAATGGATACTCCAGGTTTCATTGCACAGATGAAGTTAATGCTGGACAGGATTAGATCAGATTAAGTATGAAAGTCAGATCAGAGTGCTGGCGGACATGAGCAGGAGGGCAGCAGTCTTCTCGGAGGCTTAGACAAGGCTCACATATGGATGTTCTCCAGATTATGTGGGTGAAGCAAGGTCTTGCCAAGAGATTTAGAGTTAAATTTGTTCTTCACACAAATATCAAAACAACCTGGCTGTGCCATCTCTTGTATTCTTGATACTCACACCATGTCATCCTATTTGTGCTGGGAGTACAGCAGAGTGGAGCAAGACTTAAGTTGTTTTTTTCAGTAATATTCTTGCCTAATACTCCTCCCAGTCTGTTTGGAAATAGTGTAGTTTCTTTAGGAAACAAAGAATCAAACATGACAGGTAAAATACATAATGCATTTGCAATCCCTGCATTTTGTACATTTATTTTGAAGCACTTAAGATGCAGGTAAGTGTATAAATATTTATGGATTTCTAAAAAATAAATAGAAACGTGCAGGTTAGTTTAAAGTATGTGGTTTTATTCACAAATTGTCTCTATTTTCTTATTACAAGTGCCCATATATATAGTTTAATAAGCATGAAAATCCCTTTATTGTTTGTTTCTTTTAGAAATCATTCTTTTAGTTATGGACACTAGGTTTTCTGGTACATGAAAAGGCGGGGGAAAAAAATGTTCCATGCTCTATCAAACTTAAATCTTCTTTTCATTTTTATGTATTTCTTTTCCGAGATATAGAATTGGCTTGAGAACTGCTGGCAGGATTTTTGCTCTCTGAATTTCTGGAGCTGCCATTGAAGAGGAAAAAAAAAAATCTCTTTTCTTATAGCTCTGCAGCTAAAACCTGAAGTATGCAACGATAAAAACAGATAGAATAGATTGCATTTAGTTTAACACCATCATATAGCTCATTGTCAGTCAATAAAATCTGGGATTAGAACAGAGAACTAGAAAGCAAAAAATCTGAGTTCAAATATTAAGTACATGGATAAATTTTTATTGAAGTATTTCCAGCAAGGGTGGTATTGTCTGATTCTCTGAATAGCTAACCAGTGGTACTGCTTGATCCCATTTACATGAAAACAAGCTCTATTCATAAACATATTCCAAATCCACATGGAGGTTCAAGTAAAAATGTACATGATTACAACAAGCAGCGATATGTTTATATTCATGTATTTACAGTCAGACTTTCATAAACCTTGTGTGCAGGGGTGGAAAATAAGTTATTTCCCAGAACAGACAGTCTATTAGTTAACAGCTAAATTTAGTAGCTCAACTAGATTATAAAATAAATAAGAGGCAAACTGTGAAAGCTAGTCATTATTTAACCATTCAGGATTTTGACAATAAAAATAGTTTCATGGTTCAGAAACTTGTAAAATGTCAACTATGAGATAAAAATAAGGAAAAAAAAAATCTTGGTGAGGCCACACCTGGAAGAAGGATACACTGGAAAAAAATACTGAAGTAATGGAATTTTTAAAGCATTTCCACCCACCCCATATTTTTGAGGGGGAATTTTAAGGCCAGGTGAGGGCTACCAGAATTTTAGACTTTCATTTGACCTACACTTGTGGATATAACGTCATGCAGGTGCTGGAATTGTAAAAGTGAGTATGAATAGAGGAGGAGAAAGAATAGGTGCCTGTATGGACAGGCCAAAACCAAGACTCTTCCAAAGCTTTTGAGAGCCTCAGATTTCTGATTATTAAAAAGGAAGCGTATATCCTTTTCTTTATAAAGAAAAAAGTTGCTGAGTTTTTAATCCAAGGAGAGAGTCAAGACCAGTAGGACTGAGCCCACAGAAAAATCTTTGTCTTTCACATTCTTGTGAAACAGGTTTTCACAAATATTTTTAATGTAGAGATAGTATAAGGTCTAGATCCCCATATCATTTTGGAAATGCGTAATATCCCACTTTACTTAGTTAGACTGATTATATTCTTAAAGTTTGGCGCATGCATAAGTATTCGCTCAACAGAGGCCTGGGGGACTATCTCACATTACTTTCACTGCTGAGATTTTTGCTGAAGTCGTGGGGAGTTGCGGATTCACCAGGAACGTAGAACTGAACTGAGAGTATTCTTTAAATATCTTAAAATATGTCAATTTTGTCTCCATTAGTATTTCATTTAATATAAGGAAATCTTTTTGCAGGAAACTGTCCTTCTTCAGTTTAAATTTATTATTCATTTTAAGCCTGATTTCTTGTACACACTTTCAAGTGCATTGGAATCTGACGACATGGAAGTAAGGGTTTTTTCAGTTTATGTCAGCCGTGTAGTTGAAGGCGAACAAAAAGATAAATGGCTCTATAGACTAGGCACTATACATGAATGTAATCATGTCTGAAGTACGCCTGTAAACTAAGCTCTTTTACCAATTGCAAAATATGCAAAAAGAAAAATAAATTCACATCATAACCTATAAAATATATGCCCCTTGTTGCGAGGCACAAGATAAAAGGGTATCAGCATGAAGCAAACTGAGAATCTACTTGGTTTTTTAATTTGTTTCCTTGTGGCTTACTGTTACTTCCATACAGTTTTGGTATAAACTTTCATTTTGGTTTTAATGGTAATTTAAAATTAAAAAAAAAAAAAAAAAACAAGAAGAGAGAGGTGACAAGATTGCCTGCCCGTTCATCCAGATTTCACAGGTTAAGACCACTGCCTAAACAAAGGCCAAATCATAAACTGTGTTCTTGCCTCTCTACTGCTGTGCTCCAAAACTTCCTTGATGACCCAAAAAAACCTTGCTATTCCTGTCCTGAGCTACTGCTTTCACAGCGTCCTTACTACATAAACGTGAGACGTTACCACTAAAGTAATGGCAAGCTAAGTCAAATTTGAACTGAGCTATGAGAACTGAGTGAGAATGGTTTAGAACAATACATTATTTAATTTCTCTGAGCTGTTGTGAGCTTTAAAGGATTCTCTCGGGTACGTTTTCAGTATGCTGTGGTAATATTTAGTCATACAAATTCTACTGGTAAGAGAAGTTGCATTACTAAATCTCCTTGCATGGGCCAAATCCTGTGCTGGCCCTGTCTGCAGCACAGATTATCTAATGACTTCTTCAGGGTTTTCCTCATTCAAGGCGTCCTCCGACTCCGAGGGAGGATAGAGATGTTCCCTGGAGTCACTGCATTGCATTGACATTACTTCCAGCCTTCTCTGTTCCCTCTGGTCGGAGTATGCGGCTCACAGAGCAACAGATTGGAAATCGCAATATTGGAGACTATTTTCAATTGAAGTGGGTTCTGTTCCCAGGGACAGGCCTTTTGGAGGGCGGGGACAACTTGGGAGCAGAGCCAGAGCAACTGTCCCAGGTTATCTGGGTTTCCTAAGCTAACAGGGCTGAGAGTCTACCTCCCATACCTCCCATATCACCAAAATATCAAATGGGAGTCGAACAGAAAAGGTATTATTGAAGTTGTCTAATCTCTTGGCAGGTCGTGTAACCATTTTAAGTTCTCAGACACTCAGTTTCTGTTGAACAAAGGCCTGTAGTTCTCTCATTGTAAAGGAACAAGATTGGTAGCAGCAGTTGTGCCCCGAACTCATTGTAAAAGGAGAGAATGGTATGCAGGTTCATGAAAAAGGAATTTTAGCAGTGGTAAGCTGCCCCAAAATTGTGTTTCCACTACACTGCTTTCAAAAACAAAAATATTATAAGTGCATTTTTCATTTGGAATGTATGTCTGTTTACACAGGATCTTAGCAAGTCTTAAATGTGTGCGTGCTTGCGATGTTTCAGGTTGAAGAAAATTAATTATTTTTAGCAATTCTTTTCGGAGAGGTCTCATGCACTGTATTCCACCTCTTCTGCAAGTGGCTAAGTTCCCAGTGAAGCAGTGTCTTAAGGTATCTATCTGCACAGGGATCTACCTGAGGTGAATGTGATTAAAATTCCCAGGAGACATTAGAGATATCAGCTGCTGTTTCAATGAATTAAATTTAAACAAGCATTTTTTCAGTAAGGTTCCTTCCAGTAAGATTAGTCAAGGCTGAGGGGTAGCTATCATGCCAATTGCTAAAGTTTAAATTTTCTTGCGGGCAGGCTATCCGAGAAATTGTTAGCTAGTACTTCAATATCTTAAGAAGAAATTCAAAAGGTCATACATCTATATGAAATGTTCTTTAAGAAATGTATGGATGCTTAGTCTACCATATTTTCTCAGCAATGTGAGGTTCTGCCAGTTTTTACTGATGCAATTTGGTCACTGACAGGTTTTCTGATAGGCTTTTTTTTTTTTCCTGAGTAGCAAAAATTCACAGCTCTTACACAGCTGTTTGACCCTATGATATGTAATACTGTATTCTCCTTGGTAGCTGTGGAGTGTCCTTACCTAAATATCCACACATATTCTGTTCTTGATGACTGGCATGCGGTTGGCAGACCACTTTTTTCTCTTCAGTGTTGTCATATATTCTTTATATTCTTTTAGAAATTTCAAACCTGGAAAAAAATTACACACGTCTCTTCAGAAAGAGATGTTTGAGAGTAAAGGAAAGGGAAGTATAGAAAAAAATCATAAAGAATGGACAAAATGCCATGTAGTGTGGAACTTGAGCTTGACACAGGCTGGGAAGCAGTTTTATTCCAGAGAAAGCATGAAAAATAATAAAGAAAGAATCACATTATTTGTGGCCTGCTTGATAGAGTTTCTTATCTGAATCGACAATATAAATGCAGCCCATGGTAGTAAGGGCTGAAAGGGATCAGTTGCTGTCCGATGGTTCTTCACTAAGTAAATGTACTCTGATCCACAGTAACTACATGTCCACAAATATGTAGTCAAGAGTGGCTGGCACCCTGGTTGCCACTATTAGTATATACATTAAGGTACTGAGGGGTACATGAAGAATGAATTATCCCCTCAAAAGATGAGGTAATCACGCCAAAATAGGGCTGAGCGTGTTGGCAACATTGCGTGGGAAAATTGACTCTGTTGCTATCCTTGCGGGACCCATGCTGGAGATTAAGGATCTCACTCTTGAGAGAGAACAACCCTGTACGATCTGGGTCATTGTATTTGAACAGTGTTTGAGGGAGAGAGGAGGTAGGGGCTTGTAAATCTTTATAGGGATAGATAGAGATAGATATATAAATAGAACAAATATGCATAATAGGTAATAATTAATTAATGCCACAACTGTGAAAGTAAAAGGAAAAAAATACCCTTCATAGTAACACCTGAAATACAGTAGAAAAGACTTTAAAAAAAACTCCACCCCCCCTTGTATAAAAAAACATGTAAAATGTTAGCTTTATATATTGATCCTGATTTCTGATATGGTAGTATTTTAATAGCTAGCCTATGTGATCTGTGAATTTCAACTATAAAAAGATCTGTTTCATGCTGATACTTTAGCTTTGGTTTAGATTATATTTGGTTTTATGTATTTTTTAATATTTAAAAGTACCTGAACTGAACAGAAATGTAGACCACAGTTTCTCTTTTACAGCATTGTGTAAACATATGTAATTAGCCTTGTACTTATCTGCATTAGTATCATTAGAATTGAAAACCCATTTTAATCTGGATTCTGTTCTCTTCTCAATGTCAGCCTGTTTCTGGACCGGTACAGAGCTAGCCTTGTTGATGCAATAAAGAGATTACTCCAACCCAGTGTAAGTATGTTTCTATTTTCTCCTGAACACTGGCTTCAGAATAATTAGTCTGTGCACAATGATTGAGAGAGTAATGGAATGGCAGGATTAATGTCATGTAATACTTTAATACTTATTATGTCCAACTTCAATTGAGTCTTCTAATCTATCAGATTCTTTCCTAATCATAAACTAGGAAACTTCTTATACTTGGCCTTCTGATAAGGAACACAGTGGGTAGTAAAATAAATGAAACCGCTTCAAAGATAGCGTGAGATTATTTTTATCAAAGCGTTTCTCAAGTATTTTCCTTTGATAATAATGTCTTCATATTAAAGTAAAAGTACGATATTGAAAGTTTTTATGTTGGCTTCTGTCATTTGTAATCCCTTCAATTGTAACCTTTGTCATTGTGTATTTATTTATTATGAAAGAATATTTTTTCTTTTCATTTCTGTTTATATAAAACGAACAAAATCCTTATGCATATATTGTAGCCTAAAATTTTTTTCCCATTAAGTAAGCCCTGTGTTTACATGTTTAATACCTTAGAATATAAAGAAATTAAGCTCTTCATAAAATGCTTACATGTTGTACGTGAGTATCACTGAGGAAATAGTTTACCTATCTCAATCTATTAGACTGTTAAATCAGAGAAACCTACAAGCCAAAAAAACCCTATTATATGCATATACTTTTACCCAACAAATAATCTTGAATCTCAAAAAAATGTTTAAAAAGAAGATATCAAAATGAGAATATGAGAAAACATGTGAAGTAATTGCTCTAAGTAGGAATTCGAAACAGGAATTTTACCTTTCATGCTTACCATACAAATCTTCCAGTAAGGTAAACTTTCAATTTCAAAACAAAAGTATTTCATGTTAGGAATGCATTCTCCAAACTTTATTTAAAAACTGTATTATACTTTTTGTACAAGAGATTTTCTCTGTAAAAGGAATAGAAGACCCAAACGTGCAAAGGCTTAAGAAACCGAGTCATTTTAGTCATGTAAGTAATCCCATTCTTTGCTAAGAGTGATCAGGTTTCTATTCTTGGTTCTATCATAGACTTTCCTGAGTGACCTAAGGCAAGTTACTTAAGACTGAATTATTTTAATGAGCTGTGGGGCAAGGCTGCCAGGAAGACGGGAGAAATGTAGCCACCCTGAGGAAAAGGTTACCTAGATATTTCTGTCAGTGGCAGCAAGGGAAGGTTAAGCAGCTCCTGCCCAGAGTGATGCATTCTGACTTTCGTGATGTACCGTCACTTATCAGGGTGCAATAATTTTTGGGACCAGAGGTGATCTGGAACACAAAGCTGATCCCAGTTTAAAAAAACGGAAAAAGTATTTTTGTTTTCAGCCCAGATCAGTGTCTGCACCTGTTTCTTCAGGTAGCCCCATACTGGCTCCATGAAAGGACTCTGGGGGAGAAGAGTATGAGTGGCAGGAAGAGAAGTGTGTAAGAGCTGCCCTGGTACCTGTGACCTGGCTAGAGCCTCTAGCTGGAGTGGAAGAATAGCTGTTGGTTGCTTTGTCTCCTGCACATAGCTAATCACCGTCTGATGGTCTATATTGCCAAAAACATGAGTACACACATACATTTGTATATGCACACACACACACGCATTCTTTACCTGGGCTGATTAGCCCAACCAGAGAATTTGATTTAAAAACAATGACAATAAGGCAGCCTGAATTTTAAGTAGTGTTCATAGCTCAAGTTCCCATATATAGACAATTTAGGAATTGTTAACCTGACTTTAAACCAAAACTGGCCTGACTTTGTTGCTTTTTAACTCCAGTCAGCTAATTCAAATTCAGAACACGCCTTTGTTTTTCAGAGCAGATGAACTACAGTCCTTTCTGAATGTAGGTGGAGTAAAGGGAGATGGGGTTTTGTTTCCCATCTTCCTAGACTGCCTTGCTTCTGCACATTGTGATTAATAGTATAGCCTGTACTTATTTGCTCTGCATTTTAGGCCATGGTTCCTATCTCTGATCAGCAAAGCTAGCTTAAGAAATTCTTGCTCCTTGTCGGAATTTCTGTTGCAGAGTTTTGGACCACTGTCTAAACTGTATTTTTTGAGTAAAGTCATTTGCCTAATCCACTTTATGGATGGTCATATGGATAGATATCCAGTTATGGCATGATTTTATGGTTTGAAAGACCCAAATAAAAGCATATACTCAAAAGCATATACTCATTTGAGATCCCAAGAGAAAATGCAATCACAAGTACATAATAGTTATTAATTTTACTGTTCCTGTTAACCTGTATAAATCTAAGGGTAACATCAGAGGAAACTTTATTAAATGGCACTGTACTTTGTCCTTTAAAGGAAAAATAAATTAATAGTGAACTCATTTGCCAGTTGCAATAATTAAGAATAGTTTATGGGCATTAGTTTATGCCCAAGCTAAGGCGTAAAATACTTTGATTAAGTTTGCTCTTCTACATGAACTATTTTGTCTCAAATTTAGAAGGTACATTTCCGTATCGGTAATAGTTTGCCAAATTTATAGAGGAACGATCTCCAGTTGAAGACACATCTAGATGTAAGACATCTTTCAAGTATAACTAAGATACAACTAGGAGAGAAGAGTTCAGGGAAAATAATAGCCAGCAAAACCGAAAGGAAAAGTGGAGTAAACAGAAAATAACAGGTATCCTTACAAAGCTGTCTTGAAGGAGAAATTCAGAACAGGTAATTATTCTTACTGTTAGTTTAAAAAGAGATAAATTTATTATTTTCTTTTTCCTTTTTCCTTCCTGTATTTCCTTTTTCATTAAGGATGTTATTTGTGGCTATTAGAATCCTTATGGCACAAAATTATGTGTTTTGGGTAACTTCATTTTCCTGGAAACAGGACTCTGGTCATTTCAGTCATCTGATTCATAGTACGACCCCATGGACAGTTGTATTGGCAAAGGAAGAGAGGACCAGAAAATCACGCAGGCAGAAATGAGAGGCTCGTAGAGTTGCTGGGGGCTGAAATTTCTTACCTGAATTTGTTACCAAGGCAAATGTCACCTGTAAACCAATTCCAAGAATTAGGCACTGAAATTTTACATAGACAAATTTGTCTTGAATGGCTATATTTTATTCTTCTTATAAGCAAGCTACTTGATTTGCCAACATTTATTTTTATTTTTTCCTATCATTAAAATGTACTTTTAATTTCAATCTCAGAATAAGCAGTTGCTTGTTTGCATATTTCCCTAATCGAGAACATTTTTATGACAGCTTTGATTCTTCTGTGGCCTATCCATTCAAAATCCAATGAAGTCAGTTGGGTGCTATTGAACTGTGATTAGTACTAGCAAATAAGACTGCATTTAATAATGATTGATGAGTAAACTTAATCATAGTCATGTCTAAAATGTGAACGTCTGTCCCATTATCTTACTGCAACATTTTAGTGGCACTTCAAGCTATTATAACTGACATTTTCCTCTGTGTTTTGTTCACGGGTTTACTGGAAGTATTTTCCCAGCTGGGGAAAGGCCATTCTGAACTTCAAACATCATCCTAAACTGAGAGGCACTTTCGAATTACAAGCTTTGAATTAAACAACCTTGGGATAGTCCATCAAGTGTAGATCCAGGCCACTGGTCTAATTTTTTTATTGTACGGCAACAAGAAATGAAAAACATTTTAAAATTAGAAATGTGAATGCGGTTCTACAACAGCTAGCAGAATCACAGAGATCAGGCAGTTGACAAGAAAGTGCTTTAAACCCAGATTATGATAGACCAGAATTGACCACAGTACCTCCACAGTACCTGCCAGTTTTGAGGAGATTATTGTAGTATTAAACTTAATCATGATTTCTTGGTTTTTATCAGCAAGGGCAAGATCCTCAGGTGTTTTAGATGCACACTAAATTCAATAGAGGAATGGGGTTTTACACCAACTAAGGAGCTGGCCAAAAGTAACTGTGTAGTGATTTCCATAAAAGGCTATTCTCCTTTTTCAAGGTAATTTCAAGATTTTCAGTCTGGTTTTAACAGATATTTCATACCATATTACATTCTAATTTACTGTATTTCTCTTTCAAATTAAATTTGAAGTAGTCTACAGAGAGTAGAAGAAGGAATGACGGCATGGACTGCTGACTCCAAATGGAAATCTGTAAGGGGGTGCTGTTGTATGGGCATTGCTTCCTCATGGAAGCTGCTGGATCAGTGGCTGATGCAGGGCCTGTGACCCCCAGCCAGTTCACGAGGTTTAGCCATTCCTGAGGTCCCTACATGAATGGAGTGGTCAGTAAGCCCTGGGTGGGGGACATCTTTCCCATTACAGTGACCTCTCTGTGAAGCTACCCGTGAACATGAGGGACTCCAAAGGAGTCTCGTCCTTCTTATGCCAGGAAGGGTCTCTGCAGAACAACGTTCTAGGGAGCATGAGATGGCAGCAGGAGGAGAAGGATCCTTGGCTGAAGGCTCCATTTGCTGCCCACTTCTGTCTGACGACATTAAAGCATGCCAAGGATGTGAGGGAACTGATTGTGAATTTCCTGTGTTTAATGGTTTTCATCCTGAGCTGAGCCTATATTCAGACCTAACATTTACATAAGCAATTCCAGCACCTTCGGTGGGAGTTACACCCGTTTGCACCTCATATTTAGGCACAGAATTCAAGTTACAGCTACACAACTGAATAGCAGTGAGTTGCTTTGGATATTGCCCTAGGTCTCCTTCGTGCTTAAATTTCCCATGAGAAAGTCGAGGATAACAGTATTTCCCTATCTCACAGAGGCATTGTGAGAATAAATACAGTGCTGTGGTATTAATGATTGGAGTCTTTTAAGTACACGTTAGTACCATCGATACCGACGTAGAGTTTTATGGCTGCCTTACTGTGCCTTGTCTCAGCGTATGTGTGTATCAGCTGTAACACAAAGATCTGTTCCCTATCCTCCTCACTAAGCGTCTGTCTCAGCACTGTAACTTTCCAGAGTTCCCACTGAAATTCTTTCGTCTGATCACTTTTTTCCTGTGGTATACAAGATTGCATTTTCTCAAGCCAAATATTTTTCCACAGCGTCTAATCATTTTATAACTTCTTCAGATACCTAAAAATATTTTTTGCCTCTTCAGTTGATTACAGCACCTCACAAATTAGTCTTAGCTCTCATTAATAAAGAAGTTAAATACAAGAACTCACAGTAAACTTTGTGGGTCCCCTCGGTGTGATATGCCGTTGGTTGATATTAACCTTTGTTTACAGCTCTTCAACCAGTTTTCATTCCATGTGACAGAACACAGTATTCAGCCAATTAGAATTAATTTTGCAAATAAGATTTCAAGAGATGCTGTATCAAGTAGGTTAGGTTTTGGGGTAGTACTTTGCACGGAGCATCTAAAATCTATCAGTTCAAGGTACAGTCATTTTTGTTTTCTTAAACACAGAAGGATGAACAAAAAATCAGCTAATGAACCATAATGTATTGCCTGGGCATCATAAATGGCCTGATCATCTTGAAAGATCCAGAATTACTATGCAAAAACATTAAGTCCTGCTTTAAATGCAATTTACCAATTTAAGGTCAAATTCGGTTGCACTGCTCAGGTAGTTTAAAATATCTTTAAAAAAATTAATGATCAGGTCTGATTTTCCTCCCATTTTGCCTTGTTTTACACTGTTGTAATTCCACTGACAGCAAACAGGAGAGTATGTGTGAGAGTAAAAAAAAGAAAATCATTATTTACAGTCTTTGATGGTCATGAGCTAACATGGATTTTGCATTGAGTGTATGTTTTGTATGCTTTTTCTGTGTTTTATTTTGGTAATTCATAGCCACTGTTATTATATAAAAAGGAGCAGATATATGGCAGTTGGCAAGTTTTCTAAAGAAAATATTTATTTATTACTTTCTATTTTGCATTTATTTAATCACAGAAATCATGCATATTTTGAACAATTATTTATATTACCCTATTTTAGTATTTTACCAAGAGAACAATTGACTTTTCCAGCTTGAGTATATTAAAAGCTTAGTCAGGTGTATGTTATATCTGGTTCCCTTCCAGTTTTAAAAATGTGTAAATTCTCTTTTTAATGTTCCAGGGAAAAGCAATGGTATTTGCTCCACTCCGAGGGAATACTTTAAACCAGTTTTGCAATCTAGCTGAAAAAGCTGGTTTCTCTATCCAAAGACATGAAAATTATGATGAACACATTTCGAACTTCCACTCCAAGGTTAGTTTTCTGCTTGTGTTAGATAACACTTTAATCCGCATTGCATTTTGAAGAGATCATGGTCCTTTTGGCAGGTAACCTAAATGTTTGATTAAAGTACTCCTTAGGTGTGCTGTTTCCGAACAGCTATTTTTGTATCTGATTATTTTGTGTGGTAGAACCATCCTTTATCTCTGCACGTCTAGAAGAGTTTTACAGAAGCATCTCCTGTTTACCCTTTTTATTCATAGAAATCTAATTTATGAGAGTCTTTTCTTCTTGTTGTTGGCTGCCTATAAATATACTGCACGCTAGCATTTACATTTTAATAAAAAGCTTGCAACTTTTAAGTAGGTTAAATACTGAAATGGACTGAAATAAATAGGAGGTGAATGTCTAATTGTATCATATCGTACCTTAAATCCTTATCTCTGGCTGCTTTATGGCTGGGTCAGTTGGCAGCTTCAAACTGCTAAATCTCATACAGAATTTCACAGTTGTGGGGTTATATGTCAGATCGAGGCGCTACAAGATTTAGGTCAAAAGCACTTATCTAAGCGTGATTTCTAAGCTTGCTTACATAAAGCTACTGTTATCAGTCTCTTTTTTTATTATTTATAAGTGTAGAGTAATACAGGACATGAAGAGGAAGGTGCTTCACAGAAAACTTTTTAGAAATTTCTTATTTTCATGTGTAGAAGTGCTTATCAAAATCATATTTATTACTTGCAATTCTGAGATCTCTATTTCATAACATAAAAAAATCCACTGTTGTAGGTCCATATGACCTTAGACATAACCTCTTGCAATTTTCTAAGAATTGCTCTTGGAAAATATATACATGTTCAGAATTGAAGTGAAATGCCTTTTTTTATATTTAGCACTACCGTAGGATAGAAATCAGATTATGCTAAAAAATATATCCGCATGATGTTGTAAGGAATAAGCATATACTTTATCATGTAATTTTATATTTAATAAAGACTCCCATTAAAGCTGTCTAAAGACGTGTACATAATATCACTTTATTTCATTGTTCAGGTAGGTCTGAGCCTGGTCACACTAAAACCAAATAAATTTCAGTCATCATTCATCTACCGCCTTGACTTTAAATATATAAAATGGTACAAATGTAAGGCCCAGTGTGATGGGTTTTTTATTTGCCTCCACCTGAAAAAGGGCATGATTTTCATTATGTTGTTTTGTGGTAGCTGTTCTCTTTCATTATCCACTGCATCCAGATCAGCCCTGCAGCAGTGAAATGCAGGAGTAATAGTTGTTGTCTTGATCCAAAAGATGGGTCTGAAATGATAGAGTAGTTTATTTTGCTTAGAAAACAAATCTGTTCTATCTTCCTCTGGTTATGTGTCCACTGCAGTCCTTATGATAGTGACCAGAGCGAAGACATATCTGAAGTAGCTTTAAATTAGCTAGCTCTGGAAATGCCGATCATTTTGCTGCAGTACTTTTGAGCACAAGCTGTGAAACGTAAGATGGATACATACTTGGGGAATGTAATGCCCAGCTTCATTAGTTTAAATCCAGTTTTGGAATGTTTTTTCTCCACTGTAATCACAGCTGTTGTTCCTTGTTCCTCCTCCCCCTGTCTTCTTTTGGCTTGAGGAAAAAAAAATCCCAAAGACACATGACTGTTCAGTC